AACAGCCCCCCGAGAGCCCCAAAAGGCCCCAAACACACACAAGACGCCCGAAGACGGCCCAAAGAACATCACCAAGAGGCCTCCGAAATGCGGACAAACATGGGTTTCCAATTGTTTTTGTATGATGTTGGGAGTGATCTTTCCTTCGGTCTTCCTGGCGTCCGAGACAGCACAAGAGGCCCGCAAATCATGCCAAAATTATCCGAAAGGGCTTCCATGCAGTCCAAGAGACCCCCCAAACGGCCCAACAGGGCCCCAAGATGGCCCAAAGAAAGCCCCGTGACGGCCCAAGATGGCCCCAAGACGCCCCCGAAGCTTCCAAATCGTTACCCGGTTTTTCAGGGAGACCGCAGTTGGAAGCAGGGTGGCTCGAGGAATCCCCCAGAGGCCCCCAGAAGGCGCCCAGGGGGCCTTCAGCAGGCCCCAAGAAGCCTGGAAAACTTTTCACGAGGCCCCCAAGAAGCTCTCGAAGGGTAATAGTTCGCAGGGGAGGGCGATAATGAGGAAGAGGAAGATGAAGCGCGAGGGAAGGATACCAAACTACATTATTATGACGGCGATGCCAGGCAAGGCAACGAAGAGTTCTCGTTATTTGTTCGGCTTCGCATTCCTGCCCTTCCGCCGCGATGTCCGCCTGCATGCCAATCCTCAAGGACCAGGGTGCATGGCGCGAAGCGCCAATGCAACATATACATAATTGAAAGATACATGAGCAGCTATATACGAGGGGAGGGGGAGGGGAGGGGAGGCGGAGAGGAGGGGATTGGGAGGGGAGGGGGGTGTGATCGCTTCTTGGTCCGACAGGACGCCTGCTGCGACTACCCACCAGACCACCCCAACCCAACCCGAAGAACCGAACTTGACCCGAATTTCGGTTTAGGGGGGTACGGGTTCCATGTGTTTTTCCCCATGTTCCCCGGACCCCCCCCTACCGGAAATGGAGGGTAAATTCAAACCTTCGGGTTGGGTTGGGATGCTTTGGTGGGTGGTCATGCTGGGAAGTGCGCAGGGTAATACCCACACCATGGGTTCCCTGTTCATTCGTGGCTTCGTCGCCGCTGACTTAGCAACATCGAGTGCCAGCAACAGCCGCCTCTCGAGGCACTGGCTGGACAGATCGGGCCCTTCTCTGGGAGGCCGAAGGCAGCCCTCAGGAGCCGCTCAGTGGTGAGCTCTGGACGCGTGCCCCAGAACCTCTGCGTAGAAGGGCAGCGCAGAATACCAAAGCCCTCCCGCGAATCCTCCGTACCTTCTTCCTCCTCCTCCTCCTCCTCCTCCTCCTCCTCCTCCTCCTCCTCCTCCTCCTCCTCCTCCGTGGGGTATCTTATCAGCCTGGAACATATCCCTATCCCTACGCTGGGCATCGTCTCATCACAATGCCAATCTTAGGGATTCCCTTAGTTTTTCAGGGCGTATCCCTAAGATTGTCATCGCCTTTTGGCGTGTCAATCTTAGGGACAGGGATAAGTTTGAGGCTGGTGAGTATCGCAATTCTCTCCTCGTCCTCCTCCGTGCTCCTGCACGCATCGACGCCACACTCTGACTCTGCCGAGCGCCAGGGGAGACCCTGCAGGAGACCCGAGCGATGGGAGCACGCAGCAGGGCCAGGCCCTCCCTCCCCTCCCTCCCTCCCGCCTTCCCTCCTCTTCTTCGCTCCCTCCCTCCCTCCCTTTCTCCCTTCCTCCCTCACTCCCCCCCTTCCCCAGTCGCTCTCTCTCTCTCTCTCTCTCGTTCTCTCTCTCTCTCTCTATTCCCTCCTTCCTGCTTGCCTCCCCCCTCCTAAGGGCTAGGGCTAGGAGAAGCGGCACCACTGCCACCAGCGCGAGAAGCCAGGGAGGGTCCTCACGGTGGTGCGGTCCCCCCTCTCCGCTCGAGACATCCCCCATCTCAACTCGGGGAGCCTTCGTTTACCTCCACAATAGAGGTGGCCCCTCTGGTGTTGGTGGTGGTGGTGTCGCTCCCTTCTCTCCTCCCCTCCCTCTCGCCTGCCTCTCTCCCTCCCCCCCTCACTCCTCCCACATCTTCCCTCCTCCCCCACCCTCCCTCCCTCCCTCGCCACTCCTCCCTCCCTCCCTCCCTCCCTCCTTTCCTCCCCCTCCTCCTCCTCCGCAGCAGCAGCTGCAAATTAGCAGTGAAGAAGACGTATCCTAACGGGTCCTGATCTCCGTGGCCTTCCTCCCGGATCAGCTTTTCGCCCCGAGTCGTTTTGCTGACGGTGAAGAGAACCTCCAGAACTCGTCTCCATCCGGACCCCTTTCGCTTCACGGCGAGCATCGAGGCCTTACAAATGTAGTCCGAGTAACTAGATGGGGGGTCGGATCGCGCGGCATCGCCACTGCATCGCCCATCGAGCCGCATCGCCGATGCATCGTCAATGCGGCGCGATCTTTCCACCGACTCAGATTATGTTGCTCCCATCGTACTTGAAGACCACATCCCAGAAATAATTTCGAGCACCCGGAAAAGTGCCGAAAGAGTGTCGAAACAGTGTCGGGCGAATGTCTCCCAGGGCCCGGCACGTGAAAACCCTCGAGTTTCGTTTTTGTCTACTGGTGCTCATAATTCTTTCTGGTGATCAAGGCTAGAGTAGGTTGGAACATCATAAGACTCGGACCCCATCTGGGAGGCCAGAAGTCTCATGCTTCCCCGATCATGGCGAGCACGGGGTTGGCACAACAATTAAGTCGGGCCTGTCCCCCTGCGGGGGGGGATCTTGGACGAAACACTAAAAATAGACAAAACATGCACCCAAAATGATCAAGCATAATCTACAAATTGCCTCCACGCTATTTTGTTTGACTGCTTTCGAATATGTCTCCTCTCGAGGGGCAGGCCCGACTTCATCCTGGCGAGCACGGGGGGGGGGGGCACAGCGTCGGGAGCGGCCAAGAGGGGGGGGTGTGTCCAAGAGGGGGGTATGCAAATCATGACCGGCGGCACGTGCGCGGCCCAGCCGGGGGGCCAGGGACGCAATGAAATAAGAAGAGGCGCCATGAAATCTTGGGAAATATCATGGCCCCCGCCATGACATCCAACCCCCCCCTAGTCATCACTCCCCTCTTTGCCACCCCCGACAACGGCGCCCTTTCTCTCGCTTGGTCGGCGCCGCGCCGGTGCGCGCACGACGAGCGGCGGCGGCCAAAACTGCTGAGGCCTGGCTGCCGCTCGTGGCGATGGCCTCCCGCCGCGCCCCCCGCGCGCGCGCGGCTGGGCGCGGGGGCGCCCTCGCGGCGCAGGTGGAGGAGGAGGAGGGGGAGGGGGAGGAGGGGGAGGGGGAGGGGGAGGAGGGGAGGGGGAGGAGGGAGGAGGGGGGAGGGGAGGAGGAGGAGGGGGAGAGGGGGGAGGGGGAGGGGGGGGGAGTCGGAGTCCGAGTCGGAAGCCTTGGCAGCTGTCTGGGGTTCGACTGCGTACGAACCTATTGCTGCTGGCGCGTCAGATCGGCGAATCGACGGGTCGCCTACGGGACCCTTGGCTTTTTGTCCTCTCGGCCCGCTGCAGCGCGAGGCCTTCCCGAAAACAGAATTGTTATGAATACGGCAGGGGTTTAGGGCCTTCGGGCAAATCGCCCCTGACTCAGGCGGTGTCCCAGTGTAGCAGTCGTCCCGCCACCGCCTCCTCCCCGCTCCCAACGTCCCCACCACCCCCAAGTCCCACTATCTAATGTTGCTGCGCGCCTGTACTGAAATCGCAGAACACAAGATCGACACTGCCAGAGCTGGCACAACGCACAATTCACTCACTCACTCACTCACCATACACTTCTAGCGTAGCAGCAAATCTTGGCCACCCTTATTACACAGCAGCTCTCCCCTCAGTAGCAGCCCGTGTTGTTGTACTGGCACGGCTGGTCCTCGAAGCAGCACAAGCCGGGGCGACTGGAGTCGTAGACGATGGGCAGGCCCGTGTTGATGCCCTTCACGGCCTTGCACTCGGCGTCGTTCGTGGGCGTCGTCCTCACCTTCTGCTGCGCCAAGGCTGCGGAGTAGCAGCCCGTGTTGGTGTACCTGCACGGCTGGTCCTCGAAGCAGCACAGGCCGGGGCAACTGGAGTCGCAGACGATGGGCAGGCCCGTGTTGATGCCCTTCACGGCCTCGAACTCGGCGTCGTTCGTAGGCATCGTCCTCTCCTTCAGCTGCGCCAAGGCTGCGGAGTAGCAGCCCGTGTTGTTGTACCTGCACGGCTGGTCCTCGAAGCAGCACGGCTGGTCCTCGAAGCAGCACCGGCCAGGGCAGCTGGAGTCGTAGACAATGGGCAGGCCCGTGTTGATGCCCTCCATGGCCTTGCACTCGGCGTCCCTCGGCGTTGAAGCGGATGTGGCGCAGCAGGCAATGTAAGAGGAAACAAGAAAGTGACATAAACTCGGCGGGGGTTCGGTAGCGGACTGCTGAGTGGGATTTCTCTGCGCCGCCCTGAGCGGCCCCGTTCCCGTCGAAGCGCCCTGTGTTCCACACGTGAAAGATCTGTGCTGACTGTGGGTGGGGGTGGGCCGCTCGCGGGTGTCTGGACCGTGGCGGCGGCTGGGAGGGGGGGGGGAGGAGGAGGAGGAGGAGGAGGAGGAGGAGGAGGAGGAGGAGGAGGAGGAGGAGGAGGAGAAGGAGGAGGAGGAGGAGGAGGAGGAGGAGGCGGAGGAGGGGGGAGGGGCGCGGGGAGGAGGAGCGGTGTGCGAGGCTGGCGGGCTCGAGACTTACACTCGACGCCTAGACGCATCGGGGAGATACGACATGTCCCACCTGCACGACGCCTACACGCATCGGGGGGATACGACATGTCCGACCTGCACATACATACATACAGGAAAGGCGAGGCGAGGAGGAGGAGGAGCAGAAGGAGGAGCCAGGACCAGGACACATCCAGGCTGGGATACATCGGGGCTCTCCGAGATCCGACGATGGAGAATGGGACAAGGGGGTGGTGAGGGGGGGACGGGAAGGGGGGAGATGCAGGAGGGCGGCGGGGAGGGGGATGGAGGATATGATCGGTTTCATCGAGAGCAGGATGAAGGTGGAGGATCAGTGGGGGAGGCAGAAGGGGCAGACGGGGATGACAGAAGCACGAAGGGCTTGTGGCGGGCGCACGACGGAAAATACAACTGTAACTCATACCAGCTGAATAAATGCTGGGCCCGCGAGGCTGGCACCCGCCTCTGGGCCCCTCCCGCGCGACGGGTCACAGCTCGTCAAAGTCGGTCTGGTCATCTGACATGCACAGCTCGTACTCGCCCTTGCCGCTGGACACCAGGGCCCCCTTGTGACCTCCAGCGGGTGGCCCAGGGAACGAGGATGAGAAAGGCGAGCGGAGGGAGAACGTGGAGGAAGGATGGTCCGGAGGGCGAAGAAGAGTTGGGAGGAGGAGGAAGAGGAGGCGGAGTTTGGAGGAGGACAGCGACGAGGAGGCAGCGGAAGCAGGGGGGGCGACGTGAGTGGGTGAGCGTGGCAAGGCGGATGCTGGGGGATGATGGGGATGAACAGACGGAGGAGTCCAAGATGCCGGCATAGGGGGGTGAGCAGAATAAGAAGGGGTTGAGGAAAGCCAGTGAACCGAAGAGGAGCAGTAAGAGGATGACGAAAAGAAGAGAAAGAGGAAGAGGGGGCAGCGCTCGAAAACATACCAGTGGATCAGGGACAACCGAGAATCGATACACAACGAAGGCGTGCTCGCGATGCCGCCGTCGCGATACCGGGGCGGCGGAGGCGGCGCGGAGGCGGCTCGTCGAGGGGCCGAAGTCGATCAACTCAGACCTGGCGTGCCGCACGGCGAGACTCGAAGGGAGCCAACGAGGGCCCCGAAGGCCCGCAGGAGCGCCCCAGGAGGGGCGCGCCAGGCAACTGCGAGGGGGCGCAAAGGTCAGAACGAGGGCTCGGTGGGGGCTCCGAGGGAGCTCAAAGAGAGGGGATCAACGGCTGGCAGGCCTCGGGATAATCCCAAGGCGGCTCAGACATGTCAAAGGCAGCCTGCGAGAGGACCCCAGGAGGCCCCAAGGAAGCCGCCAGACACCCGCCGAGAGACTGCCAAGAGTCTCCCAAGATGTCCTGATGTCGCACGCACGAAATTGCATAGTATACCTTGACGCTAGCGTATCCATACTTTCCGTAGTGACTGCCTTCTCGAGCTCTCGTGCCTCGACGACGAAGCTTAGTGGTGGAGGCGCGTGTCCGTTGAGAAAGGTTTTCTATGTGCCCACACGACCTCCACAGCGCTTGTTTTGGGGAACTGCCACCAACTCACAGCGTTCCAATCGTCGCGAGCACGCAGGATGATGGCAACTGGGCTGGCGGGATTCACGAGGCGGTTGAATTCGGTGCCCCCCCCTGCAAGAACGGAGCGGGAGCAGGGCAGCCAGAGCCGTGTTGAGGTTTGCAGGCGTATAGAGCTTGGAGAGGGGGATGGAGATTGCATGCATACGTGAATGCATGCTACGAGCGGCTCCACGTGTTCCTCCCCTCGATGCTCATGGGACACGTAAAAAACACACGTGATCTGCGCATCTCGGCTACTGGGTACGACAGCCAAAAATAAGATGTGCGCTTCCAATGTTGTGGGGCGCGTAAGGATACGATGTATCCGTAGCTTCATTCTCTTCGAAGCCTCCATTCGGCACACCGCTTGCACACTTCATGCATCATCGTGGACCTCCAACGGCGCCCAGCTGGCTTCTCGAGACGGCTCGAGGGAACTTCACTTCGGCACGGCCCTCACGCACTTCGTGCCAGATGGACCCCAGAAGCCCTCGGCTGGCCCTGCAAGCGGTCCCTGGGTGCTTGGAGTCGGCACAGCCCTCACGCACTTTGCCACATGGACCCCCCGAAGGCCCACAGCTAGCTCCCCAGAACCCCGGATTCCCCCAAACAACGCCAACACCGTCCCCGCGCCCCCCACACTAATTAAAGTTGCAACGATTGGTGCCGACCCTCGTCGAAGCCGTGCAGTCATCGTGCTACCATGAGGAACGCGTGATAAGGAAGGGAGGGGCGTCTCTGGCCACGGCGGGCCTAGGCCACAAACAAATCCCACGACACACATTTGAGCAATGGCCGGGAAACCGGAGCACCTCCTGAGCCTTAGTTCATCGTCTTGAATGTGAAACCACCCTATGCACAAGCACTGATCGGGAGACATGACACACCTCTGTACATTATGATGGGCCTGTTTTCCACCACCACCACAATAAGTTGGAGGGGGGAAGGAGGAAGAGGAGGAGGAGGAGGAGGAGGAGGAGGAGGAGGAGGAGGAGGAGGAGGAGGAGTCCCCCTCCCCCCTCCAACTTATGGTGGTGGTGGTGGAAGACAGGCCCAGCATATAAGAACCCAGCCAACGGAAGAGGCGTCCGCGGGCGGCGACAGGGCGAAGACCGAAGCCGTGGAAGACCCAGCTGGCGCAGGTGGCGCACCCGCGCCAGGCTTGGGGAACCAAAACAAAAACCATACACTCGACCAGGATAGGAAAGATTCGCGGTGAGGATGCAAGGGCCTTGGGACGCCATGTTGACGTTTTCCGTGCGGAGCGCAGCAGGATGCGGAGGGTTGCCGAACACCGAAGGGCCAAGGATGCAAGGGCAGCCTTGGAAAATTGCCCCATCCGTACTATCCTGGTTGACTGTACAGCTTCTCCCCGGACCTCTCCCAGGATGCGCTCTGACCAGGATTCCGAGGCGAACCCAGCAGTGGCGACGAGGCCCTCCCAGGAGACCCCCAAAAGGGGTAAAACGGTGGACGCGCAGCGGTATGGGCACCTCTTCCTCCTCCGACGCCCGGCGGCGACCAGGCGGGAACCCCGAAAGCCAAGCCAACGCGCGGGGCGCCCGCGGGGGGCGCGGGCGGCGACCCGGCGGACGCCCGGAGAACCCAATGCACTCCCCCCGGGGCGCCCACGCGATGGTGGACGAGGAGGAGGAGGAGGAGGAGGAGGAGGAGGAGGAGGAGGAGGAGGACGAGGACGAGGAGGCGGAGGCGGAGGAGGAGGAGGAAAACGGGCCCTGGGCGCCCCAGGGGCGCTCACGCGTGGAGACCGGGCGACAGCACGGAGTGCCCCCCCAAGTGGAAGCACTGCTAGGGGATCTGGCTGCCATCTGCCGGTGGTGGCCGAAGAGCTGCGAGCACCGACGGCCGAGTGTGAGGGCAGCGCTGGCAAGAGACTGGAGAGCCAGACAGCGAGGCAGAGAGGGGGAGAGAGAGAGACAGAGAGAGAGAGAGAGAGAGATACAGCGATACGTACATGATTACATCTGTGCGTGTATATATGCATGTATGAGAGAGAGAGAGAAATCAAACAAGAGAGAAATAACAAGAGAACGTGAGAGAGATAGAGAGAGAACACCCCAAAAAAAGCAACAGAAAAAGATAATGGACGGCGAGGAGGAGAGAAGCTGCCCAAATGCCTCGCGATGTTTTCATGAAGACGTAGAAATACGCCGAGCAGAGGGTCACCCGGACCATGACCGCGCCCTCGGCGGCGAGCGGCAGCCGGGGACGCGGCGCGGCGCGGCAGACTCTGGTATACGACGCGATCGCCCCGGCATCTCAAAGGCACGGTGCGGCTGTCCTCCTCCTCCTCCTCCGTCTCGTTATCGTCATCTCGCTGCTGCTCTCCCTCCCGCTCCTGCCCCCCTGCTACTCATACTTCGAATTCATCCTGTTCCTCCTCTTGCTCCTCCTCCTCCTCCTCCTCCTCCTCCTCCTCCTCCTCCTCCACCTGCGTACTACAACGACTACTCAACTCTCTGCTCCCTTCTCCTTTGCATCCTCCCCCGCTCCTCCGTTCCTCCTGCTCCTCCTCTTCTCCCCCTCACTCCCATCTCGCCCCCCTCCGCTCACTCCTTCCCCCTTTCACCCTCCCCCGTTTCCCCCCCCGCCTCCCGCTCCTCCTCCTCGTCCCTCCTCCTCTTCTCCTCTTCCCCATCTTCCTCCTCAAACTCCTCCCCTCCACCTCCTCCTCCTCCTCCTCCACCTTCCTCCTCGTCCTCTTCGTCCTCCTCGTCCTCCTCGTCTCCTCAGTCCTCCTCCGCTCCTCGTTTTCCTCCTCATCCTCCTCCTCTCCTTTTCCTTATCCTCCTTCCTCCTCCTCCTCCTCCTCCTCCTCCTCCTCCTCCTCCTCCTCCTCCTCCTCCTCTCCTCCTCCTCCTCCTCCTCCTCCTCCTCCTCCTCATCATCATCATCATCATCATCATCATCATCATCCTCGTCCTCCTCGTCCTCCTCGTCCTCCTCGTCCTTCTCGTCCTCCTCGTCCTACTCGTCGTCCTCCTCGTGTTCCTCCTCGTCCTCCTCCTCGTCCTCCTCCTCGTCCTCCTCCTCGTCCTCCTCCGCGTCCTCCTCCTCCTCGTCCTCTTCCTCCTCCTCATTATCATCAACATCATCACCAGCATCACGAGCATCATCAGCATCATCAGCATCATCATGATCATTATCATCATCATCATCATCATCATCATCATCATCATCATCAGCATCATCAGCATCATCAGCACCATCACCATCATCGTCATCATCATCAGCAGCATCAGCATCAGCATCAGCATCAGCATCAGCATCATCATCAGCCTCAGCATCATCATCATCATCCATCATCATCATCATCATCATCATCATCATCATCATCATCATCATCATCATCATCATCATCATCATCAGCATCAGCATCAGCATCAGCATTCATCATTCATCATCATCATCATTCATCATCATCATCTCAATCATCATCATCATCATCATCATCATCATCATCATTCTCATCCTCATTCATATCATCCTATCTCATCCCCCTTCCCCTCCTCCTTCCTCCCCTCCTCCCTCCTCCTCCTCCTCCCTCCCCCCCCTTCCTCCTCCTCCTCCTCCTCCTTCCTCCTCCTTTTCCTCTCCCCCTCCCTCCCCCACACACCCTCCCCACCTCTCCTCCTCCTCCTCCTCCTCCTCCTCCTCCTCCTCCTGCTCCTGCTCCTCCTCCTCCTCCTCCTCCTCCTCCTCCTCCTCCTCGACCGCCTCCTACTGCTCTCCGACAGGCATGCCCTCGCGCAAGCTATATTGACTAGGTCGCGCCGCCATGATGGCGATGAAAAAGAGGTGCTCGCCGGTTTTCTCGAACTCGTTGTACCTATCCTGCGGGGGTGGGGGGGCGCGCTGCGACGCCAAAGGACGAGGAGGAGGAAGGACCGGAGGGGGAGGAAAAAGACGGCCAGGGAGGGATGAAGTGAGGAAGAGGGGAAGGGAACAGAGGGAGGAGGAGGGCGGGCTGGATGATGCTTGTGGAGGGGGAGAAGAGAAGAGGGGACGGAGGGGACGGAAGGGAAGGAACGCGGATAATGCGGAGGACGAGGAGGAAGGAAGTGGGAGAGGAGGACGGGAGGCAAGATGCTCAAGGATGAACGAATGGTAGGTAGGAGAGTAGCTGGAGGAGATTGGGCAGGCATTCTCACCCCATTTCCATCACATGCGCTGACACATCCCATCTTCCTATCCCGTCGCAATGCCGGCCTTCCTCTCCCGTCCCATCCACATCCTCCACCTCCCTCGCATTAGTTGCCTCTTTCCGACTCGATTCGTCCGCGTCCTCGTCCTCGTCCTTGTCCTCGTCCTCGACCTCATCCTCGTCCTCGTCCTCTTCCTTCTCATCCTCCTCCCCATCATCCTCCGTGGGATCGCGTTGTCGGCGCCGGTGCTCGGTCGAAAACATGTCATAATCCTCCGTTACCTCGGCCGCGTCCTCCTTTTCAACTCATTCTTGTCGCATGCATTCCCACATTCCCCTCCTACTTCCGAGTGCCATCCCGCGTCATTCCCTGCCTTCCTCTCCCCTTCCTTCCCAATCTTTCGCCTTCCCCTAATCCTGTGTCTCGCCCTGGAATCCTTTTCTCCTCCTCTTCCTTTTCCTTCTCCTTTTCCCCTGATCATCACCGACGCACCATCATCATCCTCACCATCCGCATCTTCACCGTCACCATCATTAACATCAGCAGCATCATCCTCATCGTCCTCACCACCATCATCACCAGCACCACCATCATCATCGTGGTCACCATCCTCATCATAAGCATCATCATCATCGCCACCACACCATCACCGCCATCATCATCACCATCACCATCACCATGATCAGCTTTAATAGCACCATAATCATCATTATAATCATCATCACCACCATCATCATCCTCACCAGCATGATTATCACCCTCATCACCATCACCATAATCATCCTCATAATCTTGCTTCTCAACACCATCATTACCATCAGCAGCAGTAGCATCAACAACATACTGATGATGATGCCGATACGGATCAGCATTATCATCGCCAACATCATCATACTCACCATCGCAATCATCATCACAATCAGCACCATCACCGTCCTCATTATCATTCAACCTCCTCACCCTCCCCATCATCGTCATCCTCCTCCTCAGCCCCAACCCCTATCCTCATCCTCATCCCCATCACCATCGCAAACCTCATCAGCAGCATGCTCATCAGCACCATCATCACCAGCATCTGCATCACCATCATCATCGTCAACATCATGATCACCATCATCTTCATTACCCGTATCATCCTCGTCATCTGCATCATCTGCATCATCGTCGTCACCATCATCGTCAGCATCGTCGCCATCATCATCACCATCATCATCATCATCATCATCATCGTCATCATCATCGTCGCCAACATGATCCTCATCGTCATCCTACTCATTCATATCATCCTCCTCGGACTACCGGCGTCGGCATTCGGTCGAACACCTCGCATCCTCCTCACATGTGTCCTCCTCCTGTCCCTCATGTTCCCCCTCCCTCCCTCCCTTCTCCCTCCCTCCCTTCTCACTCCCTCCAATCCGCCTGGGCCTAATGTGGGCACGCGTTTAAAACAATGGGAGCGACACGATTGAAAAACCCAAATTCGCGGGGAGGGCGGGTAGGACACGAGTAGACCACGCGCTCGCGGCGACGCTCGAGGGCGCTCGGAGCCTTCCTCCTTCCGTTCCCTCCTTCGCTCGGCCCTCCCCTTCCCCTTGCAAGCTCTCCTCCGCCCTTCCCCGACATCCCCATCCCCCCTCCCTCCTGCGCCCCCTCCCTCCCCTTCCTCCCCTCCCTCCTCCATGCCTTCCTCCCTCCTTACCCCCAGACCGCGCAACCTCCCCTCCTCCATGCCTTCCGCGCCCCTGTCTATGCTTCCCCCCTTCTGTCACTTCCCTCTCCCACTCGGCCCTGTTTCCCCCTCCTCCTCCCTTCGCTCCTTCCTGCCTCTCCATCCCCTCCTCCTCCATCACCGCTCCTGCCCCTCACGCCTCCTCCGCCTCCTCCGCCTCCGCCTCCTCCTCCTCCTCCTCCTCCTCCTCGGCTGAGGTCGGGCGGGTCCCCCTACAGGCGGCTGTTGGGCAAAAATGAAAAAATAGTTTTAACAATGCACCAAAATGATCAAACCTAGTTTAAACATTCCCCCTGCTATTTCCAGGCTATTTCCTGACTATTTTTAAACATTCCCCCTGCAGAGGGACATGCCCGACTTAATCCTCGGCCCCCTCCTCGTCCCCCTCCTCCTCCTGGCCCCTCTCTCGCCGCCGAGCCCCCCTCCCTGGCGGCGGAAAGGAGGCGGGGGGAAAGAAGGGGAGGGGGGGAGGATGAGGGGGCGTGAGCCGGGGGGAACGAAAGGGGGGGATAGCAAAGGGTAGGGTAGAGAATCAGCTCACGTAGCTGATTTCCCAGCGCCTCCCGGCGCCTGGTGGCGCCCATGTATCGAGCAATGGGCCCGGCGGCGGGGCCGAAATCAGCTGCATGCAGCAGATTTCGTGACCCCCCTTTCCCTATCCCCCCCTTTCGATCGACCCGAATGAGGACGGGACGAGGACGAGGAGGACGATAACGACGACGACAAAGACGACGACGACGATCACTCGATAGCTCGTGATCTCCTGTGGCGAAAGTGAGCCCACCGGGCGGGCGCATCCGCCATGCGGGCCCTCTCCCGCCGTGGGGGCGAGCGGGCGGTAGGTCCCCGTCGCCCACCCATCCAACGGATGGGGACCCAGACATACCCTGTCCTGACTGTTTGATACGGGGTCCCTGGAAGTCCCGACCGTTTCCCCCGGGCCGGATCTTCATCGCGAGTCGTTTCTGACTATCCGGGGGCCCGGCGAGGGCCCATAGGGGCCGAAAACGGCCCCAATCCCTCAGTCGTGAGTTTGCTTCACGGCGAGCATGTCCTGGGAGACCTGGGGAGACGTGCGCTTACTGGGACATCTCCAGCGACGCTGGCCCGAGGAGCGCGCTGCGCCCATGGAGATGAGCCGAGCCCCAACAGCCTGCGCGGCTCGGCGGCCACGAGGCGCAACTGGCCCCCTTGGAGTGGAAGCCTGCGCCGAGACAAAGAGGGCCGAACAGGCACCTCGTGTGTGTGAAGGCTTTTTCCTCTGCCGGCAGGCTAACGACACGACAGGTTCGCGTCGTGTCGACCCCAGCGCTGGTTCCTGACACCTTGGAGATCGTCCAACCTCGAAGGAACGGCCGTGTCCGAAACGTCAAATCTTTCAACATCGACCGATTCTGGGACGCCGGCGGCGCTCAACGTTGAACGCCGGCGGCGGGGTCGCCGCCGGTCGGTACGACGCGAATCTACCGTATATTGACTTCCACCAGGCGTCGCCGTGTGAAGGTGAGAGACCTGAGACTTATCATCCCCCTGCGAAGCACCGCGTCTGACTGCCAGCAAGTCTACCCCGCGACGGCCCATGCGAATCTCGAGGTCCCTTGCTGGCCGCCTTTCGCACGTCCAAACGCAAACATGCCACGTCATCATTTATTCAATCTGGGGTCCCCAAAAATCCCGACCCCTTCCATGCGACCGGTTTTTCGTCCTGGGTCGTTTGTTGACGGTGCCGGGGCCCGGTGAGGGCCCCCAGAGGCCGAAAACGGCGAAAATCCCCCGCCCTGATATTTCCACGACGCAAGCACGTCTGGAAGACCCTCGACGGCGACGGCGACGGCGGCGGCGGCGGCCAGCGACGGCGACGGCGACGGCGACGGCGGACGGCGTTCGGCGGCGGCGAGAAGCGGCGGACGGGGCGTCCTTGGCCGCCCTGCCCCAGAAGAGGGCGAAGAAGCCGCTGGCGCTAAGCGTGAGGCCTTGGCTCCCCCCGGGGGGGAATCGCCGCTGTTGCCGTCGTCGCCGCCGGGGGCAGGGGAGGAGGGAGGCGAGGAGGAGGAGGAGACGGAGTAGGAGGAGGAGGAAGAGGAGGAGGAGGAGGAGGAGGAGGAGGAGGAGGAGGAGGAGAACAAGGAAGAGGAAAGGAGGAGGATGAGGAGGAGAGGAAGTGGAGAAGGAGGAGGAGGAGGAGGAGGCGAGAGCAGGAGAGGGGGGCAAGTGGGGAGGGAAAGAGGAGGGAGGAGGGAAGAGCGGGAAGGAGGTGGCAGGCGGGATTTTGATACCTGCGGACACAGATCCTCGCCGAAGGGGATGCACGCTTGACCGTGCCTTTGTGCAAGAGAGCGCAGATGTCGAACAACGCTGACAACACGTAGTGCATCCAAGGCCGAACCAAACGGACAGCCTCTTGTACCTCAGACTGCGGAGCGCCAGTGTGTCGGCCACGCCGCCCCTCGCCCTCCGCCTCCTTGTGAGATCTTGGACGCGGCGCGCCCCGCAGGCCCGCTAGGCCAGGCAGGACTGCCCGAGCGAGCCCGAGCCGCCGTGGGGTCAGGACGACAAACTCCGTCCGCACCCTCGCCCCGAGTGGATGGCCTGCAGTGCAAGTGGGTACCATTGGGGCCGGCGCAGACCAAAGAACCCATCAGCAACCGATCTGGGGACGGGCGCCCTCACGGCCAACGGGGACCCAAGACATGCAACAGCTCCTGCCAGTGGGACGCAGCCCACAGCTCCCAGGGCACGACTCCCAGGGAACCAACAACGCCAACCGCCGCGCAGCCACCCGTAACGGCCACGACTGAGCAGATTTCGGAGGACACACCTGGAGGGGAGGTGGAGAAGGAAAGGGCGGAGGGGCAGCAGCATTTAGGAGAAGAGGAGAAGAATGAGCAAGGAGGAAAACGACTTCTGGAGTTCAGGCGAGGGTCCAACATGCAAACGTGTATGCTTCGCCTCTGCTTCCAAGGCCAACATGCGTACCACAGTGACTCCGGCACTGCCGGGCTTCACTGTGTCGGTGCTAGGAGATTGCGCTGGCGTCACACGGACGCTGGATGGAAGAGAAGTGGGAGGTGGAGGCGTAGCAGAAGGGAACCCATAGAGGGATGAATGAGGAGAAGGGGGGAGGCCCTCCTCCGCTCCTCATCTTCATCCTCCTCCTCATCCCACATCCCCGTCCCTCATCCCTTCCTCCCCCTCCTCCTCCTCCTCATCATCCTCCTCCCTCCTGAACGGGGACCTCCTTCCTCCTTCCGCCCCACTTCCTCCTCCGACCCTCCGACCTCCTTCTCATCCTCCTCCTCCTCCTCCTCCTCCTCCTCTTCCTTCTCCCCTCCCCCTCGCGGCACCCTCGATGTGGTGGACCAAGATATTCACATCATCTAGCTGGCCGTGAAAACCCGCCGCAGGCCGGCCACGGCTGCCGCGAAGCCTGGCCGCCGAACGCGCGCGGGGGCGCGCGGGCCTGCGAAGTGCACCGCCGTGTCGTCCACGTAGGGGGCCGCGGCGGAAATGAGCAAGTACACCTCCCGCCAGCAGCCCTCCTTCCCTCAACCGTGCCCGCTTCCTCCTCGCTCCTTGCGCCCCCCTCCCCGTTCCGCGCCGTCGCCCCCATCGCAGCTCCTGTCCCTGCTCCTCCGATCGCTAGTGCTCCGCATCCTCCTCTCCCTCTTCCTCCTCCCTCCTTCTGAATGCCCCTTCCCTCCTCTCTCTCTCCTGCCTCCTCCCTCCTTCCTCCTTCCTCTTGCCTCCTCCCACCTGGCTCCTACCTCCCCCCCTCCTCTTCCCCTCCTCCTCCTTCCTCCTCCTCCTCCTCCTCCTCCTCCTCCTCCTCCTCCTCCTTGTCCACCATTCTCCCTCATCCTCCCTTCTCCCCTCGCCCTCCCCTCCCCCTTTCCCCTTCTCCTCCTCCCCCCTCCCTCCTTGTCATCCTGCCCCCCCTCCTCTCCGTCCTGTCTCCCTCAGCTCTTCTCCCTCCCTCGCCTCCCTCGCCTCCCTCCCCCCTCTCCTGTCACAATTTGCGCAGGCCGTCGCCGTCGTGTGACGGCCGTACATAAAATCTCGAATAAGCTTTAACAGGTGCACTGCCCATTATCTTGTGAGGATCGAGGGCGGTACGAACACGCCCACGACCAGTGCAGCAGTTGCTCCAAGCAGTGGCCAGCTCTTTTTGAGGCAGTGCTACAGGGCTCTCCGCGCTGCTGATGATGTCAGGCAAGGGCGTAGGCCCCGCCCGTGTCGACAAGTCTGGCGCCGTAATGAAGAACGCGACCCGGTCGCATGGAAGCGCTGGAACCCTCGTCTCTCACAGCCCCAGCCGCCTTGGACGTTGCTTCGAGGACCTGCTGGCGCTCTTCCGGCCACCGCGATCAGGCCAGGCTGGCAGTTGCAGCCGCCCTTCTCGCGCGCCGTCGGCCCGACCCGCACCCAGCCGACGCCTGGTGCTTGCGTGGCATGCAGGTATAGCGTTGTGGATGCCACGGCAATGGACACCCGAACAGCCCTACCATTGAATTCAAGACGTTTTACAATGTAGGAAGCATGTTCTAAACATGTCTTAAGCATGTTTGCTACATGTCTAAAGCATGTGTAAACACTAGACATCTGGAAATTATTTGTCAACATGCGTCCTATCCATTGATTATGTGGTTCCCATCCTACTTGAGGACCACATCCCAGGAATAATTACGAGCACCCAGAAAAGTGTCAAAAGAGTGTCGAAAGAGTGTCTCCCAGGGCCCGACACGTGAACACCCCAGATGTTTGGGGTGTTTTCTTGGTGCTCGAAATTCAATCTGGTGATCAAGGCTAAAGTAGGTTGGAACATCATAATCCATTTGATCGTCCTCCACAAACACAGCGCAGGAAAGCACGCCCCCCCCCCCCAGCGGGAGTGTCGGGTCGGGCGAAAGGGGGGGATAGCAAAGGGGGGGGTTGAGAATCAGCTCACGTAGCTGATTTTCCCGGCGCCTCCCGGCGCCGGAGACGGCTATGTATCAAGGAACAGCCCCTGGGTGGGGCCGAAAACAGCTGCACGCAGCAAATTTCGTAACCCCCCCTTTCCCAATCCCCCCCCTTTCGTCCGGCCCGAGAGTGCACGGGCCGCTGGGCAGAGCGAGGCCCGGCGGTGCCCGCCGGTGCTCCCTCGGGGGCCGAGCTCCGCCCAAGCGAGAGAGAGAGGCGCGAGCGGCCCGTGGCGGAAACGGCCCCCCGGCCTGCCCCGGCGCTGCGCCGGGCCGGAGTGTGCCTCGCGTGTGCTCGAAGAATAATGGGGCCCAGGGACACACAAATAAATACACACAAATAACAAGATTCCACATATTTTCCTACATTTTCCCACCAATATTTTCTGGTGAATCGACAATTCATTGTGTCTGTGTGTTTTTCCCCCTCCTGAAAGAACGGGCCATCTGCCCGTCGCTTGCGCCGGCCGCCGACGCTCCTCCTGGCGCAGACCCGGGACCCAGGCCTCCGGTCCACTACCCGGGCGGCCTAGCGCACATCCTGAGCTGTGGGCAGGGCGCTGGGGAGCCGAGTTGCAGGCAAGCGCGTTCCACCACTCGCGAATGCACTGCTCGCAAGCGGCCTGGATCAGCCGCGAAGGCTTTACGACACATTGCACCGAGGCGAACGTGTGTTGTTGGGACGTCTGCGAGAAGCGGAACGCGCTCGGTGAAGTTGGGACTCGCGGAAGACGTCATCGAACCCGTGCGGCGTACTGCGCGATCTGTGCCGGCGGAGTGGGGGACCAGCGGCGCCTCCTCTCGAGAAGGGGAGCGGCCACCGCCAGCCGCGTGCGCTGCGCGCGGCGGAGGAGGGGACCGGCATGCATCCTCTGTTCTCTTGCCTGGCGCGCCAGGCCGCGCGCCAGCAGGCAGGGCATCCAGAAGTGCAGCAGCCAGGGGGCATCAGCGCACCCACGGCTGCGAATTAGTTCTGCTGGGGACGAAGGATATCGCTAAGCTCCCCAACCTTGGCTCCCCGACCTAGGGAAGGCCCCGGACTTGGCCACGGGCGACGTCTGCGCAGATGGCTCGCTCTTGCGCGGCCGGCACGCCGCCATAAAGAGAGCGGGGTGGTGTCTCGCGCAGGTCAATGACAGCGGAGAATAAACCTGCGCCGTGTGAAGGTCGCTGCCGCGGCCCCAGGAGGAGCAGTAGAATTTTCAAGCAGCGCTGCACGCAGCTTGCGAGGCCGTGCAAGCAGGAATGGTGCCGCTCGCTCAGTAAATGCAAAAGTGTTGTGTGCGGCCCCCCTGGAGGTCTCGAGTGGCGCATGCGCCTCTCGAATCAGCATGCTAGCCAGTGGAAATGGGCATTGCACATTGTTTCAGGTTAGGCGGAATAGGCCCACATGCGGTCCACATCGAACACGTATGAAAAAACACGTGCTACTGTAATCGAACGCCCCGCAACACATGTAAATACACATATGTACATACACACACTAAAACCACGCGCGCGCTTCTCACGCTTAGGAGATTGCAAGCTCTAGTTGTAGTCCATGGTGTTCAGCATCGGATTGTCATAGGGATCGTGCCCATCAGGGAGCTCCACCCTCGGCCCAAGAGACAGGCTCCGCTGAGCGTCCCCCGCCCATGTCGGCGCACCCCTCACAGGGAGCTCCAACCAAGGCACCAGTGACAAGGTTCGCATAGTGGCACGCCCCTGACGCAGATCGCGCCCCGCACGTAGCTGCATTTGCGGCAACAGAGGGAAACTTCAGAGCGCCGCCCCGCTCACTCCGGCACAGCTCTTACAAGGATCGTTGCCCGCAAAGAGTCCCAATGACGGCCCCAGAGACAAGGTTCGCATCCGGCCCCCCAGCCTACTTCGGCACAGCTCTCACACGCATCGTGGCCCACAGGGATCTCCACCTGCGGCCCCAGAGGCAGGGTTCGCAGTGCGCCCCCCTTGGCCAATGCGGCACACCCTATCACGCGGAGCGTGCCCACAAGGAGCACCACCTCAAGGTCCAGAAACAAGGTTCGTAAACCCCCCCGCCCATGTGGGCACACCTGTCACGCGAATCATGCCCCAGACGGAGTTCCACCTATGGCCCTATGGCCCCAATGGGCAGCTTCGCATGGTGTCTCCCCGCCCATGTCGGAATATGCCACGCACGGGTCGTGCCCGGAGGAGGTCCACCTGCGGCCTCAATGAGCGTGTTCGCGCGGGGGCATCCGAATTATCCAGCACACCCTTCAAGCGGATTGTGCCCAACAACGAGGTCAGCGCACCCGGGCATGCGTGCTACACAGCAACCATCTTTCCGCATTGCCTCGTGGCGCGCAGTGTATAAAGCAATGTATGAAGAGAGACACGCGCCCTGCGCTGCACATGACTGCATAGGGATGGGTCCGTCCCCAAACCAGTTGCTTGCTTATTTATGGCCTTGGGCCCATGCCCCTACTGTGCTTGAGTTTTGGGTCAGAGGATTCGTGGATACCTGAAATGCGGGGTCTACTGGCATGCTTCTCGGGCGCCTCGTGGAGCGAGTTTGAACCTTGTTGTGGCATCTGGGGGCCTCTTGGAATTTCTTTTGACCCTCTGTGGGGCCCGCTGCTGCCTCGGGGACTCGCTCGTTGCGGAGGGCTCGGAATGCCAATTGGAGTCCCCCCGCTTGGACTCCTCTTGGGACTCTCTTGGGCCGTCTTGGGCGCCACTTGCACCGTCTTGGTGCCAGGCCTTCCTGGGGTCCTCTTGGAGGCCTCTTGGGCCGTCTTGGGGAAGACGTGCGGCCTCGTGGGCCGTTTTGGACGCTGTGAAAAACCAAAGTGCGAACACGACATCGATGCACATTCCCCAGAAGGGATGAACAAAAATAACTGCGGCCTCCTGGGGCTCTCTCGGGGCGCATCTTGGAGCCGTCTCAGGACTTCTTGGCCCTGTCATGCCGCTCTGATCGCTTGTTCGTGGCCCCCAGAGCGGCGGGAGGAAGGCGCGGGAGGCCTCGGACGATGCCACAATGGGGGAGGCGGGAAATTCTGGAGGGTGTCCGAGCTTGGGCACCCGGCCCATGGTACCCCAGCACACATATGCACTTACATCTGTATATATATATATATTACATAACAATGTTTTATAAATCTATATGTAGAATCGATACCTTCGCTCAGGCCGCCTGTCTTGTAAGCTTGCATGCGCGTGCCGCCGCACGTGTTCGGCTCAGGCGACTGTAAGAACAAGACGCGCCTGGCGTCATTGTGGAAACGGTATGCCCGCCCTTCCCTCAGCGCGCGAGTGGTAACTGAAGTATTGCCATACTGTTACAGGTGGATGATCATTGCCATGTCGCGCGGCATCACTATTAAGATCCCATCCATCTACAGCATCCATGCGAAGGGACCCCGCAGGTTCGGAGATCAGAGCAAGGGAGTCACTAGTTCGCAAGATAATGACGATGTCTGAACAAAGACACACCGACACCCAGATTTGCACATACATGTACACACATGCTATACTTTTTGTGTGTACATGTATGCACATATACAAGACTTGATGGCTCGCCTCGCTTCGCCTCAAGTCTTGGTCCTGCGTCCAAGCATTGCCGGGTGTCTGTCGAAAGCCGCATCGGTGCGGAAAGATCATGACCGCGAGGGAAATCCGGGTCATTGGCTGGATGGAGCCCATCGGCATGTTCATGCCATGAGGGGCGGGCAGGGCTGCCACGAGGGCAAAGGTGAGGAGCTCGATGGCGGTCCAACTTGGGGTGTCGACTCTGAGGTCAATAGGGTGTACGTCATGGCCGCCAACGGGGTGAAGGTCATGGCCCAGAGGGCCTCGACCAGGGCCACGAAGCTGATGGCTTGGAAAAATGATCGGTGAGATGAGCGCGAGGGGGGTGAAGGCCACGATCCGAGATGGGTCACAATCACAACGTACCTTGATGGAGGTTGATGCCATCGCCGTGGCACGGGGCTCGAATCATGATCGCAAAGGGGCTGTCGGGAATCCGGGGGAGGGGGGTCGCGGTGATAATCTTGAAGGGGCGAGGGTGGTAACCGTGAGTGGGGTCTTGGTCCTGATAGTGAGGGTGTCGAGGCGTCTGTGAAAGCCTTCTGGAGACCTAGTGGTGTCGGGGCTCTGTTGGAGGCCACTCGGCGCACATGGCGCCGCTTGCTCTTGGAAACCTTGGATTTAAGAGCTGCTGTTCGCTCTTGGGAGCCTTGGCGTTCAAAGCTTTTCGTGTCAACGACTCGCTTACTCAAAGGCGCGTCCGTCCCCTGGAACTCGGGGATCATTGGCGTCCATGCTGCGTGCGTCACAGGGCCGCTTGGGGGCAGGAGTCTTGGCGTCAAACCTGTGTTTGTCACTGGGCCGCCTTGGATCCCTCCTGGGGGGTCATTTTCAAAAACTGTCGGAGACATTTTCGGGGCCTCTTGGAGGTCTTTTGGGGGCCTGTTGGGCTGTGTAGTGGCTTCTTGGGAGCTTCTTGGGGGTCTGTTGGAGGCCTCTGGGGCGTTTTGGGGGCCTCGTGCACTGCCTTGTTGCCCTCGTGGGACGCGTTCGGGTCCTCGGGGGCTTTTTCGTAGCTGTGATGGGCCGTCTTTTTTGTTTGTTTTTCCACTGCTCGAGGTCGCTGCGCCGCGCGACCGTCCCGAGATCTGGGTCTAGGGCAGGGCAGTTCGCCCGCAGGGTCGTGCAGGCTCTCAGTAGGCCTACGCTGCCAGGCAGCAGCTCCTGTCCGCCGCCTCGGGGTCGTGTCCCGGGACCTCGAGGATCTCTTGAGGGCCTCTACGCCGACGTGATTGCGAGGGCAGGCCGCGCGCCCGCACTGCAACGTCCTCGAGACGCCGCCGCGGCCAGGCGCAGCCGCGCCGAACGCCACGGCCCTACGAAAGAACACGGGCACGATGCCCGAACACTGCTTTTCGTCTCACAGGGAAACTGGACTCGTTCCCTCACCCCCCTCCTTTGGACAACCCTCCCTCAGCAAACCCCAGATGATGGGATTGGCCTCGCCACGCCACCTCCCTCTGGTCAATAGACCCAGAGTCTAAAGAAAAAATGCCCGAGGGCGCGGGCGGCTGAGGCAAACCTCGCCAAGGAGCTGCCTGAAGCACACCTCCTGGTTCGGTCAGGGCCTCTGGCGGTTCTACGGTTGGCGAGAACAAAGGACCTAACAACGGCATAAACGCTACCTTTTGTGCAAAAACTGACGGTACGTGCGTGCAGTACCGACTTCAACGTGAATTCCTGACACCGCGGGGATCCTTCAACCTTACACGATCGGCCGTTTTCGAAACGACAGACCGTTAAACATTGAGCGATTCGGGGTCGCCAGCGCTGTTCAATGTCGAACACCTGCGCCGATGGCGCCGCCAGCCGACACGACGCGAGCCTACCGTATGCTCATGCTGGTGTTCTCCGTCGAGGGTGCAACAAAACTGGGGCGCGCCACGGGTCCGCCACGGAGCCCGCAACGGGTCCGCCACGGAGCTGCCTTCGGCACCTCTCCGGGCTCTTCGTCGGGGTGCCGATCCTTCGCCTGGCGAGGCGAGTGCGCTGCCAAGGGTGGCCCTGGCCGAAGCTGGAGGAAGACGAAGAAAGCACAACCATAATTACAGGATGGAGATGGGGACGGGGATCGGAGAAACGATACCGACCAGCGGGCCAAGATCGCCGCTGGCAGCCTCGAGGTGGCAGGGCGCGCAAGAGGCAGCCGCCGGAACGGGTCCGCAAAAGAGCTGCCTCTGGCAGGAAGGCGGGCTGCGGCCCGGCCGGCGCACGAGAAAGGAGGCGGCGAACAAAGGCCGCGCTCTTCCGAGCACGGCTCCGCGGCAAGCTGGACGCGCGGCGCCCTGCGACAGGTGACGCACGGGCCGTCGAGTCAAATCACAAGCCAGAGCATAACGAGCGTCGCCACAGACCGTGCCGAAAGGTCGCACGGGGTAGTCAAATCAAATAAGTGACCAAAAAAAGTGGGTGTTGCCAGAGGCGACCCAAAGGCGACGCATGAGCGCCGTGGAATCAAATAACTAGTTGGCGAACAAATGCTGGGTGTTGCGAGGCATTCCCAAGTCAACGCAGGGCCCGCCGAATCGAATGGGTGACCCAAAAATGACGGGCGTTGACAGATTCGTCCCCGATGCGACGCACGCGGCAAAAAAATAGAAACCCTGCTGCTGCTGCTGTTGCCAACTGGCGGCGGCGCGGATGACAGGCGCGCCACCCTGAGCAAATGCCTGCAGGCTCGCCCGGGACGGCCGAATTATAGTGGAAATTAAGGGTTGCCGTATACTGCAACACCACGTGCCCCAAAAAATGACGAAAAGACGGGCGACTCTTCATCCCACAACCCGCTCTTCCCCCCCAAGGTCCTCGTCGTCCTTCCCCCCCCCCGGGCGCCAGCGGCGACCTCCCGCAAGGCGCCCAAACACCCCTCGAAAAAGTGATTCCGAAAACGCCGGGAGCCGTCCCAGCGAGCAGTGCCCACAGAACACTGTCGAATACAGTCCGCCTCATTGTGGAGGCTTCGGCGCTTTGCTGAGGCGAACATTCCTGAAAGAAAAACGCCTGCTGCGCTGAGCCGCTGAGATCGGTTGGCCGTCTACCTCGAGGCATTAGCTGCGCAGTCTGATCTACCTTCCTTGTAGAGGGGATGCATCGAGAGGAGATCGAGCGGGCGTTGGAGGGCGCTAGGGCAGAGGAGGCCACCGGCAGGTTCTACGCACACAAGAGGCCGCATTGGGCCGTCAGAAATCCACGGCCCACTCCATGCCGGGCTCCGCCTTGACGCCGGGCGGCCGGGAGGAGGCAAACTCGTCGGCAACCTTCTCGCCGTCGAGCATCTCCCACTGCTGCTTCCGCCTCTTCAGGCTCGGAACCCAGGGCGCCCTCAGCCGCCTCCCGACCAGCGCGTCCCAGTCGAACCCCTGGAAGTAGGGGTGCTCCTTCACTTCCTTGGCGCCCTTCTGAGCAGCGCCGATGCGGAGCTCCGGGGTCCGCTCCAGCAAGCCGGCGATCACCGAGACCGCCGACTCGTCCCGAACGAAGTCTGGGAATTCCAGGGGCGCCTCCAGGACGGCCCTGTGCAGCTCCAGGGGGTCCTCGGTGCCGCGCCCGAATGGCAGCGGGCCCACGACGAACTCGTGCAGCATCACCCCGAGCGCCCACCAGTCGATCGCGCAGGTGTAGCCCCTGCCCAGGATGGTCTCTGGGGCGAAGTACCCCGGCGTACCGACCAGTGTGTTTGTTCTCACTGCCTTCTTACAGCAACCAAAGTCAACGAGCTTGGCGTTGCCCTTGAAATCCAGCAGCACGTTTTCCGGCTTCAGGTCTCTATAGATTATCCCTCGTGCGTGCAGATACTCAAGCGCCAAAGTTACGGAAGCGCTGTAAAACTGCGACTGGCATTTAGTGAGCTGGCCAATCTCACGAATGGCCCAGAATAGATCACCGCCTCCAAGGAATTCTGTGAGAAAATATACATTTGTGGCGTCCTGAAAAGTTTTGATAAATTGCATAATACAAGGATGATAGCACTGGATGTTGATGTCTCGCTCCATGCGGATCGACTTCTGCTGGCCCTGTCGAACGACTAGCTTCTTGTTCACGCACTTCAAAGCATACATACGTTCCCTGTCGCTCTTGTGATACACCAACTTCACGACACCGAACGACCCGCGGCCGACGATGGCCCTGAGTCGCAAATCCTTCATCGTGATGTTGAGGTCCTGGAGCCTCATCCGGTGCTCCAGCTCCCCACGGAAGGTGCCGACGATCTCGAGGAATGCCGCCTTGTCCAGGCGCATCACCGTGCAGGGCTCCAGCGCCTGGCACGTGGCGGAGCGCCTCTCCTCCAAGAGCAGGCCGCGCTCACCGAAGTAGTCCCACTGCCCGATGGTGCGGATCTTCCTCCTGTCTTTCGACACCTGTATGGTCCCACTGTGGATGAGGTAGAAGTGGTTGGCCTCCTCCCCCTGCCGGACGATGACGTGCTCGGGCCCAAAGGTCCGCCGTTCAAGCTTCCTCATCACTTGCTCGACCTGCTCGTCGCTCAAGTTTTTGAAGAGCCAGATGCCGCCCAGGACCTTTCTTACCTCGTTGAGGCGGATGACCTCGCCCAGGTCATTGTGCAACATCGCCCGGATGGCCTCGTAGCCAGCGCGGTGCAGCCGCACGTTGGAGAGAGCGACCACGGCCTTCCTCATCAGGGCTCCCGTCAGCAGCGCCTCGGAACCGTGGGCCATGCCGCTGCCGATGATGGAGGAGGCGAGGTGCCGGGCCCTCTCCGCCCCGCAGGACGCGTCGGCCCCTTCCGGGAGCACCGCTAGCTCACCCTCAACGACCACGATCATCTGAGGCTTCGATCTCGAAGAGATCAGGACCTCACCCCGGCCAAAGGACTCGTCCTCGAACATGTCGACCATCGTATTCTGCTGGGACTCGGTCAAGAGCCGGAAGAAATCCATCTCGGGAGATCTCTCCGGCTTCGAGCCGGTCTCCAGCAACAGGGCCTTCAGGCAACTGCGGCGGAGCACGTCCTCCACGGGACCGATCAGCCTCTCCATCCCGCTCTTCCCGAGGGCGAGGCACTCCACCGCCTCGAAGGCCTTGGCGCCGGACACCTGGTTCCTCCCGTACATCAGCCCCGAGCTGCCGAGGATGGTGCCCGCCTTCTTGACAGCGGAGTTCCCGTGCCTATCCACCGTGGTGACGCTCCCCGTCATGACGATGAACATCCATTCACCGACCTCCCCCTCGCGCAGGATCGTCTCCCCAGGGCCGAACTTCTGTACCGAACAGGCGCCCGCGAGAGACCCGCGCTCCGACTCGCTCAGTCCGCAGAAGGACGGGTCCGAGCTCAGGAACTCGAGCGCCCTCTGCAGGTGCCTGCTGCTCAGCTTCTCCATGCAGGAGCGGAAGCCGTGCTCGTCCATCTTCCAGAGCACGCCGTCCTCCTTGCAGGTGACCGATGCAGTCCGCGGAACGCTATACAGCATGGCCAACTCGCCGAACGTGTGCTTCTTGCTGAGCTGCTTGAGATTACGGCCGTTGATGGACACGACGAAGCAACCGCTCTGAATGAAGTAACAGCAGTCCCCCGTCTCCCCCTGGGAGAATATCTTCCCCCCCGCGGTGGCCCTATGGACCTTCATGAACTCGACTACCTCGTCTCGCTCCGCATCCTCAAGGCTGGAGAACAGGAAGTGACTCTGCAGAATCTTTATCAAGAAACTGCGGCTCGTCGAACTTATGTCCACCTTGCAACGGCTCTTCTCGTTGCTGGCGCATCTCCCCTTGTCCTGGCCCTGCCGGCGCACCCGTTTCCTGTGCCTGCCCGACCTCGACCAGTGGCTCGGCGACGCCTCGGGCTCGCCACGTGGCACCACTGCCTTGTGGGAACCATCGGGGCACACCTTCGAAGGGCCGCCGCAGCCCATTCGACGTCAGGGCCAGGGGCTGGGCCGCCCCGCGACCATGGGGGCGGCCGGGGGCGCTCGAGCCGAGGCTTGAGCCAAAATGGCTACGGATAGCTGTGATGGGCCGTCTTGGTGCCTTCTTGGGCCGTCTCGGAGCCGACTCTGAAGCGTCTTGGGCCGTCTTGGGCCACGTGGGTGCCGTCTCAGCCAGAAATGTTCTAAGAACATTTCGTGCAGACCACAAAACGGTTCTTGGAACATTCTTTGGTAGGCCTACAGGCACGCCAAGACGCTTTGTCACGTCGCTTTTGGACGCCCGAAAGGAAAAATTGGCACGATGCCCAAGAACAAATGTTGACCCAAACCAACAGCGGCTGCTGTGGGGCCAGGCGGCCTTCTGCCTCAAGTGGACACAGGCCGCGGCGGCGCGGACAGCGAATTCGGTTCAGAATGATCAGGAACTGCTGTTGTCGGCGATGGACAGATCCCCCTTTAGTAAAACGTGGTTTAGTGAAAACGATCTGAGGCCCAAACCTGGCGGGCGCAAGCCTGCAAAATAACGGCCACGGCGCCCTCTCGAGAACCGAAAAAGGACAATTCACTCATCGACGTGTCACTGTTGGGGGTTCTGTCCACCCCCGATGTTGGGCCCTGTAGCCATTCTTTCCGTACCCATTGCGTTCGTGCCGATCGCTGGCGCGCGCCCCAAAGCGGAAAAGGGGCCGGCGGGGCACGCGCGGCCCCCCTGGGGAGGGCCCCCGCCTGCGGGAAGAGCGCGAACGCCTCCAGCCAGACGGACGCCATCCAGGCCCAGTCCATCCAGAACCTGGCATCTTTGGGGGACCCAAAAGGGGGTCCAGCTGAAAGGGGGTGGTGCAACAGACTCGGGGCAATTGGATTGCAAACGTGTTGCGCTGGATAATAGTATTGCACTGTATTGCAAGTGATGTAAATATTGCACGCGAGAATCCAGCAATACATTTGCGCCCTGGAATGTTTTGCACGCCCCAAATGTCTTGCAACCCCGCAAAGCTGCTGCACCAAATCTATTGCACCACCCCCTTGTCCCTTGTCGCTGGACCCCCTGCTGGGTCAACACGAGAATGGTTGCGTGATGGCCTACCCTCAACCAGAAACGCGTGGCTTCCCAACTTGGACATCAGCTGACCACTTTTCTCGCTGTATATCGTTGATTGTGGCGCACGTCTGCATCGCAGAACGGTGGGTGGTGCCCAAAACCTTGCCCCGGCCACCGCGACCGCCGCGGCGATCTCCAAAACCGACCCGGCGACTTGATTCGGGGTCGGAAATCACGCCTCGATGGAAGTGACAGATGTGCCCCCCCCAATGGGGCCCGAGTAGATCTGTATCCACCGACTGCCGAGGTCCCCGTGGATCGATCCCACAGGCGGTGGTCATGGATGAATCCCCGCCTCGGACTGGAGAGAGGCGAAGGTGGAGGAGGAGGACGAGGAAGGAGGGATCCCTGTCTCGTCCTCGGGTGCGTTCGCCTCACTCCCCTCTCCCCTCTCGCTCGGTCAGAACAGTTCCGCAGAGGGCGCGCGCGAGCGAAGGAGTTGCGCCAGAGCTTGCACAAGCAGCAGGAAGGAAGGGGGGACACTGATGATCAGGAAGGGGGAAACATCATGTCATGGCGATTGGATGACCCATCAGGAAAGAGCTCACCTCACCTGGGTGGAGTTCACTCAGGGCGTATCCACCTAAGGTCGGAGCGAGTTCACCCAGGATGAGTTTACTCGGCATGAAATCGCCCAGGGAGGGTTCACCAACGGGTGAAACTTCAACCGCCGGTGAACGAACCGTCATCCGGAGCCTGGGATTAGGTCGGGCCTGTCCCCCTACAGGCCGATTTTGGACGACAAATTCAAAATACTTGAACATATTCAAACATTGCCATAAATACTGAAAAATACACCGGCCCAACGGGCCAGAGGCGTGCTAGGATCTCTGGAAACTGTTTCACAATATTTCTAATTCGCGCGCGCGGGGCGGCCCAGCCCCCAAAAATGGTTCAAGAGTGCTCCGAGATGCCACACGCTCGCGTCAAGACGCCCAAGATGGCTCCCAGACGCCCCAACAGGCCCCCAAGAGGCGTCCCAAGAGGGCCCCACGAGGCAAACATCGTCTCATTCCTGAACAAAACGAATAGTTTTAGTATGCTCGCCACTTGAGCGTTCACAACGTCATAAGCGGCCCAAGAGGCCCCAAAGATCCCGCCCCAGAGAGCCCCAAGACGACCCAAGAGGCCTCGAAGACAGCCCAAGAGGCCCCCAGGACGGCTCCAAGAGGGGGTCCAGACGGAAGACCCGCGCGGATATTTCGAGCCCGCGGCCCCGAGAGGCCCCCAGGAGCGCTCAAGATGCCCCCGAAAGGCTCCCAAGAGGCCCCAAGAGGCCCCCAAGAGGCCCTAAGATGCCCCCACGAGGCCCTCAGGAGGCCCCCAAGCGGCCCTAGGAGGTCCCCCCAAATGCCCCCCCAAGCCCCAAGCACGCAAACAAGTGCCAGCGATGCCACAACATGGGCCGGCGGAATGAGCGAAGCGATTGAACAGTCCCCAGACTACTCATTCTATTTTTTTAACGTTTGAATATTCCTCCTGTAGAGGGACAGGCCCGACTTAAGCCTCGGATCTTGAGACGGAAGAGAAAGAATGCGACGAGTCCGCCGACCCTCGACTGCCGGGGTGAAAAGGCGTGTGAGCCATTCGGCTGTCCCCCTCCCCCTTCCCCCCTCTCCTGGGGTCCAAAATGCTGTCTGAGGGGGGCTGGGGGGGAGGGGAGACGAGGGGGGACGAGCTCCCAAACGCATCCCTCGGGACTTTGGAGCCTCTCCCAAACCCCACGACGGCGCAGGAAGTCCAAAACAGAGCGCCAAAACAGCGCGAATAACTGTTCAAGAAAGCGTCAAGATCGCCCAAGATGCCCAAGACGACCCTGAATGGCTTCGAGACGGCCCACGAGGCGCCCAAGACGGCCCAAGAGTGATCCCAGAAGACCACCGAGAAAGCCTCCCAGAAGCGAAAACCGTCCCATTCCCATCGGAACATGCACATGTTTAGCATACTTGCCTTCTTCGTCCTGACACCGTCAAAAAAAGGCCCAAGGGGTTCCCACGATCGGCCCAAGAAGGTCAATGAGGTCCCCAAGAGAGCCCCTATGACGGCTTAAGAAGGTTCCAAGACGGCCGCGGGCGCCCCGCATACGGCCCAAGATAGCCCCAAGAGGACCCTAAGAGAGGGCCAAGAAGAGGATACAAGCTTTTATCTCAAACCTTTCTTCCCGAGATTGTCCCAAGAGCCCCCCCGACGCCCCCGAGGCGCCTACAAGAGGCCCTAAGAGGCCCCCAAGGGGTCCCAAAGAAATCGCCAGGAGGCCCCCAAGAAGGCCCAAAAGGCCCCCCCAGATGCCCCCAAGAGCCCTCCAAGAGGCCCCTTAGAAGCGTCCCACGAGCCCTGCAAATGCATCCAATAAGCCCCTGACCCACCCGATAACTTCAAGATCGTCGCAAGCACTCGCTACTTCCAGGTGGTCGGCGGAATGGCGCAATTGAGCCATGTGAATCCGCCACCGTGCCCCCTGGCATGATGATGCGTGGTTGACTGCCAAGCTGCCTGGCAGGGTTTCTGTAATCTTCTAAGGTCTTAGCGACCTCCACCTCCTCGGGAAGCGCCTCGCTGCGTGCACCAGCCATGCTCCCAGGGGTTCCCTGGGCGGCCATGGCGCCTCCCAGGGGCTCTCCAAGGCTTCCATGACGGCCCAGGAGGGCCCCAAGACGGTCCTACAGGGCCCCGAGTCGCCGAACGATCGCTCAAAGACGCCCAAGATGGCCTCAATATGGCGCACAAAAGCTTCCAAGGCGCCCCAAAGAGGCCTCCAAGAGGCCCCCCAAAGACAAAATCAGACGCGGAGTTAGGCGTTCTCGCCGTTTCGCCCTTCCGCGGCTCCAAGACGACCCACGAGGCCCCCAAGACCCAAGAACATCCCAATACGGCCCAAGAGGCATACAAGAGGGCCCCACGACAGCCTCAGAACGCCCCAAGAGGCCCCCAAGAGGCCCCCAAGAGGCTCCAGGAGGTCCCCGAGAGGCCCCCAACAGGCTCCAAAACGGCCCACAAGAGGCCTCAGAACTACCTCCCAGAGGTCCCCGAGGCCTCCCGCGAGACTCCAACGAACATCCACTGGGCTGATGAACCACAAATCAGGCGCGGTGGCGGGACTTGCCGCAGGCAGCTGGAAAACACTTACCACCGGTAGCCTCAGGAGAGGAGGACGAGGAGCGTGCTTTCGTGTTGTTGAGACAGGTGGAGTGGCAGAAACACTGCAAGGAGCATTAATACCCCCCTGAACAAACGGGCAGGAGGTCAGCAGCAGTCGCGCAGCAGCCCACATAGAGGCCTCCTCTGCGGAAGGTACCCACAGAGTAAGAAGCCGCCAGGGAGACATGAAACACTGAAGCGGGGGCGATGATGAGGGAGTCGAAAGTGAGTCTGGTAACTCAAATAGCATCCGATTCCATGATAGACATCGGATGGCAAATAGCGTCCATCGCTCTGCTGTGATAGTACAGTATGAGGGGTGGGCGGATAAGATAGGATAAGATCGATGTAATGATCTTTCCAGCACATAGCGAACACTCGCGGTGTCCGGGCAAATAGGGCGCGCGTGCCTTGGGCCAAAGGCAACGGCGCGCGCGAGCTATGCTCCCGATACTATAACATCTCCCAAAGACCTACCCTTAAAGTCGGGAGGGGAGGAGACGGAGAGCATAGTCGCACGCAAAGGTCGCGCGCACGACTGTTTGCAAAAAAGAAAACAGTGCGTACAGTCTGGCCTAACACCAGACTGCAAGGCGAGTTTCCTCGCAAAGTATTTCACGCAAATACAAGACAGCCCCTTCAAACAATGAAGGGCTATCGGCTCAGTTAGAGGTAAGCCAAACAGGCCATACCTCACCAAGCAAATGTGTATTAAGGCAAAGAGCCTGAGTTGTACGAAGCCGGCTCGTTGCCAGGCGTGAAATATAAGGCTCGTTTCCGAGCAACTAGAGGGGCGCCTTTATAGTAGGCGCCCGTGCTGGCAAATTGGACCGCGAGGGCAACAAGGACAGACTAAAATTGATTAGACTTAGGTTTGTCTCTGTCCTCGGGACCCCGAAAGGGAACAAATTGCTTCACGTCATACTTAAATGACTGAGTGCCTGACATCACTTCCAGAAGCAGCTCCCGATCGATGCTTCCCTTTGTATGCCCATCTGCGGTCATATCCCTAGTATCACACCATTGCACATTATGTACTATACCTATATCCATGAGCTCACGTATCCAGCTGATATGTCCAAGCAGAGTCCGTTCTGTAGGTATGTTGAGATCCCTGCTTGATAAAGATTTGTAGACGGACTCGGCGTCTATGGTAAGAGAGACTTTGATAGCTAGGCCTCCAACTTCACGCATGTCTCGTAGTTGTCGTGGAGTCAAAGCTCCTGCCTTAAGCTCGTGGAGAGTAATGAGCGTAGGGTAACACTCATCAAGGTTATGTGCGGCTGCAAGTGCCTCCGCAGCATAACTGGACCTCACCTGTAATCGGTGTGATTTGCATAGTCCGTCACAGAGGTGAACGACGGACTTGCCTTGAGGCGAGTTTCCTCGCCGTAGTACATTGGCCCCGCGTATGCCGTAGCCCTTGGTCTCGTCATCCTCCTCCCCGGTAAGCTTCCGATACCCCGAATCGCTATGGATGTCAACTTCATTCGTCGGCTTCATCCGAGGGAAGGTGATGCGTTTCGGGCTGCTGATCAGCTTTCGCGCCA